GCAGGGTGAAGTGAAGCAGATAAGCTTGTTTCACAGACCATGTCGACCTCAAGCTGCCACAAGTCAGACCTAATGATGTAAACATGCCCATGGCCAAGCTGCATAATGAAGGTGTCTATCACATCTGGTGTTTTTCCTTCCACTGCACTGCTGGGCAGCCCCTGAATTCATGCCACATCTGCACCAGATCAGCACCAGCAGGACAGCAGGAACGTGCTGGAGCAGTTGTCCCTGGTCAGGCTGTGCTGTCTCCCCCAAAGTAAATCTCTTTGTCTTCCAGGGAGGCTTTCTTAAACACCATGGAGAGCCAGCTCCTGCGCTGCAAACTGCTAGAGCTGTTGTTCCAGCATAGCTGCGATGTGCCCACAACCTTGCCCTTGTCTCTGGCCAAGATCCTGTATTTCCTGAGCCACTCCTCTGTGCTGCTGCAATACCAGGTATGCAGTCCAACCTCTCCTTTGTCTTGTTTTCTCCTGAGAAAACCTCTTCTAATAACCAAATACCAACTCCTGTCACAGGATGAAACAGCAACATGGCAAAGATGGGATGAGATGCTGCACTACTTGAGTTTGCTACTGATGAGTTACCAAAATGTAATACTGGGTAAGTAGCCTGTTCTGGCTTTAATAAATACAATCTCATCAAGAGGCTGCAGTAGAACAGCCAAAGCACCCTTCCTCCTCCCTTCACATCACTCTTGAACTCACAGCCACTGAGTCCTAGAAAAATAATGTGCCTCTGTCCACACTAGTAACTGTTCCCAGCAGCCAGAGCAAAGAAGTGATGTTGCATCAAGCAGAGCACCCAATTTGCTTTGCCAAATTTAGTCCCTAAGAAATAGTTTACTTCCTAAAGGATCAATCCCAGCACTGGGAAGTACACAGGGGAGTGCTTTGTACCCACTATTGTCCAAGTTGCACATACAGTGGGTGGAAGAATAGGGTGGTTTAGGAGTAAAAGCAGAAGTGAAATGGATAGTAAGGCCAGGACACACTCAGCACTTAGTAGACCGGGCAGGGAGCACCACCCCACAGTAGCCATGGAAGGAGCAGTATTTCTGACCCCAGGAGAACAGCAGTTCACAAAACACTCCCTAAAACTCCCTAAAGTAATTTTTACCAGAAAATTCCTGAAGTCCCTTCCCAGCTTAAGCTGCTTAAGCCCAGGGTTAAGGCTCTCATGGAGGAATGCACAGGAACCCAATATCATATGTGCATAATCTTATTCTCCCTGAAGCCCTAGATGATCACTGTTGTTCACCTTCTTGGAGACATTTTTGCAGCTGGAGAACTGTTAAGTCTGCCACTAGCACAGGAGAAAAGCCTTCCCCCTCCCCATTTCTTGGGCTCTCTCCATGTGCAGATTGAGCTCCAGGAGGGGACAGTTCCTTCTTCCACCAGGCTAGTCTTGTGCACAAGTATCAAGTATAAGCACGAGAGGATCAGCACAGTTCCCAACTGCTCCTCACCACAGTGCAGCTCTGCCTGTGGCACACTGCGATCTGTCCCTGCACAGGTCAGGCAGCCCACTGTGTGTTGCCTCTCCCCACCAACATTTCCTCTTGCAGAGCACTTGCGGAGCTCACTCAATGACCGGATGGACTTGATCATTCAGAAAGCCAAGCCCAAGCTCCAGGATGGTGATGACATCAGCCATCTGGACATTCAAGTGAAGATAGAGGACTTCATCAGCCGAATGCAGCAGGTCCTGGGGCAGCCTTTTCCCCTGCAAATCACAGAGAAATTGTGCATGCTTCGGGAGTTGTTCCTCATTGTCACCGCTACCTGATGGAGACAACCGCTGCAGCAGGGGGCACAAAGAGCTTCACGTTTCCTCTGTAAAACCCCATCAAAACCCCCATCTCATGTTCCAGTCTCAAGTGTCCTACATGATGTGGGTTTGTTTATACATTTCTGTGGAAAATGTCTGGTTTACATGGTCTCAGAACTTCCTTTCAATCTTGACTTATCCTACAGTTTTACAAGTTTTAAAAAATAAATTATTTTCATATTTGCTGAGACTCTTCCATGTTGGTGCCAGCCCTGCCCAAAGGAAGTGCAGAGCTCCATCAGCTGTACCTTGCGATAGCATTAGACTAACACAGCCATGAACTCTGACAGTAGTTCGCACAGCAAACAAAATGCCAAAATACCTGTTCAATATTTAGGAAAAGGTGATAGTATTTCAGAAAAAAAGCAGGTGCGGGCTACAGTGAGGGCATTCACAGTGCAGAGCTTCCCCAAACCACTGCTGCTCAGTCCTCAGGAGAGGTTGTTCCAAAGCAGGATTTGGAACAGGAGATTGTTCCAAATCAAATACATCTACATGACTTTGCCCAACATGATTAGCATGTCAAGAGGGAGGACTGGATCACAGCATCAGCTGAAAAAGTTGCGCCTCTTCCAGAACGCACTGAAGTGTCTGCAGTGCAGGCAAGCACACAGGTTATAATGAACATTCAATTCAAATGCACTGCTACCAACTCAAATCACAGCTGAGGTCAGAGAGCAATTAGGCATTTCTAGAGAAGGTCTCCTCAGACAGTTTAGAAGAGAGGTTGGCAGTGGGAGAAAGACTCCTGTAGCTGCACACCACCCCTTTATCTGCCCCTGTGGTAGGTGAGCCTTGGCAGGGTCCTAATGAGGAGACCAGAGCCTAGGAGCATCAAGCAGCACAGTGACAGCAGTAGAGTAGTCCTGATGTTAGTGCTGCACACACTGAAGACCTGGTGCTTGTTGCACAGCAAGGCCTCATCCAGAACTGTTCCAGAACTCTTTGGAAGGGTCTGACCTGGGGCTTACAGGTTTGCTCCTTGTGCTTTAGGAAGCCTCTTCCCAACTGCCAGATGTAGAACAAGCCACTCCTCTGCATAATACTGCCCCTCTAATCCAGGGATAAGCCATCCAGGGAGAAGTGAAGAAGTCTGTGTTGTGAATAGTAGCCAGAAGTGTTCCCAGCAGTGCAAACTCCAAGTGCTCCCTGCTCTAGAAAGCTGCTCTTCCTGCATGGTATGCTCATTCAACTGTATTTTCCAGTTAGGTCCTTTTAACTGGATTAGACTTCTATCATGAAAGTGGAAAAGAAGCCACATTCCAGCATGAGGTCCAGTTACGGATGTTATTTTCTGGTATGTTGGTCATATCCAAGAATGATGTTGGAGCAAAATAAAGTAGAATGAGAGTATCACACCAAGAGGCCACACTTTAACCCCAGCCTTTCCAAGCCAGATTATGAGATTAGCCTGTGTAACCAAGATGTGCAGCAGCAGCCTGTACCAGAGTACCTGGGTGCTTCAGGATCTATTTCATCATTTTTAGTTCTGCTAACACCCTAGGAGCACAGGAAACACCAGTGTTCAGCTCAGACAGCCCCAGCCCAGGAGAACCACGTGCTCTAGCAGCAGTACTGTAGCAGCTACAAGTGCAACAACAGCACTCTAACCAGAGCTTTTTAGAGGAAGGCAAAGCAGAGATGGCCACACCACAGAGAGCTGGGTACCCCTATGCAAATACCAGCATGGCTCCCACACCTGCACCCACCTCCACAGTACAAGTGCAAACACAGCACAAGCTGCAAGAAAAGCAATCTCAGGAACCTGAAGAATCACCATCTCAATAGCTCAAGAAAACAAAGATTTCATGTTTACTTTCATCTGCACAAGCCCCAGGACAGGACTGAGTCTGGCTTTAAACCTAATCTCCCTCTCAAAAGGGAGTTTTACAGAGCAAACATTTTACCCTAGTGCAAGTGCTGCCAGAGCCTAATCAGGCAGAATCTTGACCCCACACTCACTGGACAGCCCCACATTTCTTCCACAGATGCTTTGCCAGTGCTAACACACACCAAGGACCTCCTTTCACAGGATTTTATTTTCTTGTAACAAACAAAAAAAATCATACACATTAGAGACATGAATACAGACAACAAATAAATTAATGTCAAATCAGACTGATTGCCAAGGTGCAAATGAGTGGTGACAGTGAAAACTGCTCAGTTGGGTGGGAGACTTTCAACACAACACATAATTGGCAGTGCTGTTGAAGCTTGAGGAAGTAGAGCCACAAAACGTGCTTCTTCAGAGGGGACAGCAGCTAGCCAAGGGAGACAACCCTGCCTCGCCCTCCAGGAGAAATGTTTGGTTTAAGAAGGCAGAAACCCCAGAGTTCAACACTTACCAGCTGTTAAGTAACCTCTGTACAATGTCCTGGCAACTGAGAAGCTTCCAGTACAAGATGCAAGGCTGCTGCTGCCACCTCACCACTACAGAAAGCCTGCTCCACAACACAATCATGCGATCAAGAGGAGACCTGTTTGCCATAGCACAAGTGAAGATTAACAGAGCAACACTGCCTATAACACTTAAGAGATTAGATGGTAGCCAGGAGTTCCTTCCACTTTTCATGAAAGCAAATGTTAGCTGTTCCCAGCAACTGGTTCTGACTAGGCCAAAAATTACATATAGCTGTATCATAGCAGGGAGGAATGTTTAGCCTTGACCTGTCCTCAGTCCTCCCCCAGCCCTGCAAAATGCATTTAATGCTGATGAAAAAAAAAATCCCTATTTGAGAAGTGCCTCAGGTGTCTAATACACTTCTACACAATTCATATAAGATGCTAGGAAAAAAACCCAAATGAAGCAGCACCCAGAGTGCCAGAACATCTGTAAGTCTGTTGTCTAGAAGGCAGCAGGGCAGTGTTTTGCCGAAAGAGAGGACTACTTTGTTCAAGCCACACCACCTCTGGTCATTTCACCTTTTGGGGGGAACATAAAGAGTTGGAAGAGAAGCAGTTCTTCCTCATTACTGCCAAGCCCCATTAGATTCTGCTCCCTGCCTTTTGAATAAGAGCATCTTAAGAGTGGTCACTGCTCCACTTTTCCTTTAAACAAAATAATCCAAGAACAAGGAAGTGCTAGGTGTTGAGCTATAAGGTCACACTGGACGGTAAGGGAGTGCCACATTTAAAACTGACCCACCACATTCCCAGAGCAACTTCCTTCTGGCAGTTAATGATCCAGTTTTCAGTCCTTGCTTGTTTGCATCATTTTCTGCTGGTGTTCTGTATATGTCAGATAGAACCACAGTCCTTCTGAGGGTACTTCCACACTGAGCAGAACAAGACAATCGGACTACAGGTAGTCAAGCCAGCCTGCTTGCACACCACATGCAGTCCTGTCCAATAAAACATGGTTCAAGTTTTTACTGTGGTGTAGTGTACTGGGAAGCACATCTAGTGCAGCCTAGCAGACCAAACTGGTACAATACAGCAGACAGGATGGTTTACATTGATTTAGTACTAGTGCAGGAGTTTTGTGAGGCTTTAGGAGGATAGTCACAACTGTTTTCTTTTCTGAGATGAAGAGCTGGAAGGGAGACTTTCCTATTTTACTGCAGCAAAACGAGACAGGGAAGCAGAGCCTAAAACACCCTGTAGCCCGCTAAAGACACCAGAAGCATTCTTCCTAGAACCCAGTGGGAGTGAGCACATTCAGATCCCGAGGTTTGATATTATGGGAACGCAGAGATTGTTTCCTCCCTTCTGTGACTGGAATGTCCATTTTAGGTGGCTTGAAGGTGACTGGATCCTCTGGCATCCTAGTAGCCTGAGCACGCATCAGCTCCATGGGGGATGGCTTCTGGGCACCCTTATAGGATTGGATGGTAAATCCTCCTGATGAAAAAAAGTCACAGCAGGTAAGAGCTAGGAAAACTAGCCAAGTCCTTTTTCCACTGCTGCCACGAGTGAGCAGCATCATCGATGCCCAACACTGCAGAAAGCCTACACAAGACACAGCAGCTTCATGTCATCTAAAGCCTATTCCACATCAGTGGCTGGCACCTCCAGTTCTGGTTCTACCAGACAGCAAGAGAAAGCAGAGTAAAAAGCTGTCACCTTCAAACCCTGCCCTTCCACTGCAGCTCAGTGCAGGTAATTTCTACTTTCAGGTCCTTGGCACAGGTTTTACCCAACTGCTTTATATTTAGGCACAGAAATTATATGAACAGCACACATTCACAAGGTGGTCCTAGGAAGTAACAAGGCAAGCAAGATAAGGCTCCAGAAATAGCTAGCAATTTGTTATGTGACAGTTCTCCCCGAGGTCTTCCAGGGCAGGAGACTTTAGAGGACATACCTGGATCGTTGGTGGATTTCTGGATGGCTTTGGGTCCAAAAAAGCTCCATCTTTCAGCTGGCAATTTGTCCCCACCAGCTTCCATAGCAAAGTCTGGGCCAGTGATAGAAGTAGAGGATCCTTGACTAAACCAACCCCTAGGGAAAAAAAAAATCACTGAGATGTATACAACGTGAGAATAAATACTTCAAGTGGCCCCACTGCCAGGACCTTTACATGTAGTTATCAGGGGCAATTTAAATGATCTTAATAGGTTTGTTACCACCCAGGATGAAGATATGCATGCTCAAGTTCCACAAGCTTTCAGCATTTGGATCTATCCAACACAAATCCACAGCAGGCTCTGAATTTCACCCCTTAGTCCCTCACTGGGTAAGAAGGTTAGTTGTAGCAGCTCCCACCTCAGCAGTCTGTAGGAAATCAAAAGAGGCAGTGGAACAGAGTACCTGTTTTTATGCTTAGGAGAGGAGTGGGGAGTGCTGCTTGGAGTGGACTGAGCAGAAGTCGTCTGTTTGTCATCTTTTGTCGTCTCTCCACTCTGCATTTTTAGCTTCTGTTAGGAGAGGCAAGAGAAACACAGAAGCAACAGAGATTAAGTATAAGACATTAGGAACAAACAGCCAGTTTTATTGTCAAAACTGGACAATTGTTTATACCACAGGTGATAAAGGATTTAAATGTCACTTCACCTAAAGCTAGACTCAGTATTGTAATACTTGCATGTACCCCTTAAGCTTCTTTCCACATCAGATAAGCATTTTGGAAGTCCACTATGCTGAAGACACATTCTCCAGGCTAGAGGAAGTAAATTAACACCCACAGCTCACTCCAATTCAGAGTAAGTACCTGACAGTAAGGCACTGCTTCAATACCAGTATTCATAGGGAGGTTGCAGATGTAGCAGAGGTAGCTTACACATCATTACAGCTACCTGGTAACAAGTCTAAATGCCACAGCAACCATTTGTCTGCAGCACTTTTCAGAGCAAAGCTTTCAGTCTCACGAGTTCTCTAACGAAGGCGAGACCAGACGTCGTACAGAAGGTGCAAAGTCTAGGAGTACTAGACCCTGAAAAGTAATCCACATACAACAGGATGGAAACACTGCTCTAGAACACTGTGATGAGCTGCATTTGAAGAGCATACCTGGTGATAAAATAAACAGGAACTGGGTGTATGTGAACCAGGTTATTGCAACTCAGACAGTACAAACTGAACTTTGTAGAAGTCACTTGAAGGGTAGTTATAGTTCAAACACCAATTACACAGGCACCTTCTCAGAACGTCCCCTGTGGCTATCCAAGCCACACTAATGCAATTCACCAACACTGTTACTGAAACTTTGACCTTGTGGGAGTACACTTGGAGAGCTCACTATTAAACTCCAACTGCAAGATTACTGTGGGCAACTGAGCCCATCAGAAACATGTTGATTCAAGACCTTTGTCTTTATTTGCAGTAAGCAGAAGCAGGAGGCCCAATTTCATCTGCTAATTTCCACATCAGAAATGCACAGTTTATAAGGTATCTTGGGATAAACAGTTACAACAGTCAACTGCAGGGCACCATTCAAAGGTACAGCAAGAAGTTAGATTCTTTGGGGCCATCCACCTGGAAAGACAACTGTGATAGTATGACATGACTGTGGAATATGACAGATTTCAGAAAAAAAGTTTGTTTCAAAACTATAAAGGCTAACACTAACTTTAAAATATAAGTGGGTAACCTTTTCTACACAATGAGCTAAAAGCCTTCAGAGGAAGCAGTTTAAGGAGAGTCCCAGTAACATGCTCCAAAAGTTATGACACCAGAGAGGTGTTAAGCTAGTATACAACCTACACAGAGAAAGCCAATGCAAAACAAGCCTTACGTGGACTGCCTCAGCCACTCGGTGATACTTGGTCTCCTCAGTAGTGAGGCCTTTGTGGGGCGTGTAGCCAGCATCTCTCAGCCCTGCCTGCTGCTCAAAGCGCTGAATGCTCTCCTGAGTCTGCTCTGGAATGGTCAAGAGCACATTCACACAGAAATGCCACCACAAATAGTTCTAGCAAAGGTAATTTAAGCATCTGAATGTAGGACTCTTTTTTCATCATTCATACCTACATGTTGACAAGTTGATAGAGGCAGCAAGATGAAGCTAATGAGATATTCTGACTTGAAAACTACCCTGAGTCATAGGGCTAAGTCAAATAAACAGTGATGTGTCCCAAACCACCAGATGTATTACAAATGCTGTAATTAAACACATCTCAAGAAACCCCAAATCACTCCCAATTACAACTTCCTAAATTTAGGAGACCCCAATAAGCTGGACATTTTAAGTGGCCCTCTAGATTCAAGGGAGTTTTTTCTGACCAACAAAAAATGAAGTCTTCTGAAAGACTGCCCACAGCAGCTAATCAGACAATTGCAGTCTTGCAGAACAGGTGGTGAACACTCCCAGTGATTCTAGATTCAGTAAAATAAGGTATTTCAGCCAGATGCTGGCTCTGTATTTAACACACTGATATCAACTTCAGTTCTGGAAAATATAAGCACTTCCCCCCCTCCACTACCAGCATAAAATGTTCACTGCCTATTGGAGCTAACAAAAACATCAGAAGGTTTCAAGAGCACAAAAAGATTACTGGAAAAGCCCAATGTCTTCTTTAAAACAGATAACACTTCTCATGTTAATGTTGAAGTTATTTGAAGGGATAGTGCACTGTATATATGAGAAATCTAGAGGACCTTTGTTTATTTCCAACTTGTGACTGAATGCTCTTCCTGGGAGGTATAGGTTGGGGCTCCTGACTTCTTAGTGCATAAAAACACTTTTAGGCCATCATGGTTTTAACTAGATTAGCATTTTATCATTAGACTAGAACAAGAGCTGCTTTCCAGAAGAAAGTCCATATTCCATTATTTTTCTAATGTGTTGGTTATTTTTGAGCAAGACAGAAATAAGTGCAAATGTATAGCTATTCCAAAATGCTGGTTTGAAAACCCAGAAGTCTTTGGAAGCACTGCTTGGAGGAAAAGACAAAGCTCAGATCCCAGGAACAGATTACCACATGAATAGTCCCTCTTGTTGCAAATGGGCATGTCTTCTTTGCAAACATAACTAACCCAATTCGATTTTAAAGCATCATGATTTATGAGGTTTGTTGGGTTTTTTTTTTAAAGCAAGTGTTACTGTTAGCAAGACTGCTGCTGCTATTAACTAACATAAATGCCAGCAAGTGCTCCATTAGCACAGTATGTCAGCTCTCCACACCACTTTAGTTAATTTTAGAGCTTTACCTGCCATTCGGAAATAGCTAGTTAATAAGCAAACAGAGTAGCAGCAGCAGCCACCTCTGCACTCCAGCAACAAGGTGGCGTGGACTGCAGTGTCCTATCAGCAGAGAACATACCCTGCACTCCTGCCTCATCACCCACCTCCAGCACCTGCAAACACAGGGGCAGTAAGTGTGGCCTATTCCCTTGTTCCTTGCTTCCTTCTAGAAGCATCCTCCAAACAAAACTCATACAGCACCAGAGCAGAGTCAGTCTGAACCCACAGGCTGTTCAGGAACTGTGGTAGTTACCTCGGGGCATTACGAAGCCGGAGCACACCCATGTGCCCACACCCCATTAGCCACATTAGAGGTGAGAGTTCTTACTTGTAATGAGAGAGCTCATGATGATATGAGTGGCCTTCGCCTTCACTACTGGTACCTTGTTCACACTTTCAGTGGATGATGAAGGAGTTATGACGGGTGCATTCATGTTAGCATCCCCTTCCTCAATCTGCAGGGAGGAAGCAGGGTACAGTTTAACATGAGAAAGTATCTCAGCACCTTGCCAGGACACATCTCTATGCAAGCGAGACACAAGGCCAAGCTGCTCTAGCAGCTTGCCTTCATCCCATGAAAGAAACACATGCTGTTCTCACTACAGCCCAGGAATGTTTAGAGCTTGAACTTTATAATTCTTAACAACGAGCAAGCAACTTGTATCTAACATTTGAAAACCTACCAGGATCTGAGCCAACTAGTTGTTAGTCTAAGTACAAAAAGGTCAACAGGGAAGAAACCAGAACATATCTACTTCCATCCCCATAACTGCAAATTGGACTTCAAGGTCAACTGGGCAAAAGCACCCTTACACAGACAGCTCGGAAACACAAACTATTTACAGAATGGCAGTCATACAGATTAGAGGCTGGTGTTGAGATCTTGTTTTCCCCCTCATTCCCTGTATCAGTTTCTTGCCCAGTGTATCTAGTGGTCATAGCTGTACCACTGATCACAAGACCCTAGCAACAAAGAACCAGACAATGAATGCTGGAAAACAAGAAATCCTGTGAAACACTGACTTCCTCCTCCTAACACAGGAGTTACTGTTCCCTGACTGAACAGTTTGGTTTTTGTGCCAAACTACAACGTTAGGTTTTCTTCCATGAGAAAGATTTTAAAACAAAATGCAGTGAAAAGCAGAGGTTAAGCTCAAAGGAATGCAGAGTTTTTAGTTCCATTCAATGAAGAACAGTCTGGGTCAGAAGGGACCTTCAAAGATCACCTAGCCCAGCCTCGTTGCTGCAGGCAGGGACACCTTTCAGGTGCTCAAAGCATTGTCCCACCTGACTTTGAACACTCCCTGGGATGGGGCATCCACTGCTTTTCTGGGCGACCTGTTCCAATGCCTCAACACTCTCATCATAAAGAATTTACGTTGAAACTAAATCTACGTTTTTGCTCTGATTTAATTACACCTGGTTAAATTCATAGCTTTTTTTACCCATAAACACCTCCCATAATACACCTATCAACCATACTCCAGTCAGTGGTCCCACAACAGGGCCAGGCACCAAGCTGCTGTCTCGTCCCCAGCACCTCCCGAGGGCTCGCGGGGCCCAGCGTGTCTCTCCCACTGCCGAGCCAGGCTGCAGGAGCACATAGGAGACACGCCTGGGCCAGGGCAACCGCGGCAACCGGCCAACCGGTACCTTCGAGAGCTCCTGGTACTTGCGCTCGGGGATGACCGGCTGCTTCCAGAGGACATTGGCGCACAGGTCAGCGGGCGGCGGCGTCATGGGCGCCGTGTCCTCCAGGGCGTCGTCGTAGCTGAAGGCC